ATGCAAAGCTCACTCGAATCTCCATTGGTTGCAAAGACAGAATCAAAACTCCTTCAAAATTTTAACGTCAATTTAACGCATAAACAAACATAATCACAACTCCATCAAATTAGATATGAAAATGAACAATTAGGAGAAAGACAGAATCAACAGAAAAGGAAATGGCAATACATTCAGAAAGACAACTGACATTGCCACTGATGACTTGGTCAGCGAACTCGCAGATTTGCTCTAACATATTTTCGATTTACAGCTTCAAGAAAGCTTTCAGAGCGAGCTTAGGGGTTCCTTAACCAATAGTGACCCACCATTCGCATTCCATCACTCCCTTTCCAGATTCACATAATTCTTTACTTCATCTATGCAAAATTTCAGCAGACAGAATTTTCAAATCAGGAAATCATATTAAAAGAATTTTAGATCCACAAAGAAAGCTAAAACTCAAAGATCTAACATAACCATACTAATAATATGGCAAAAAAAAATATAGAATAGATAGATTAAAGTGAAAGTAAAATTTACCAGTTGACTCTCGTTGATTAAGAAATGCCTTCTCCTCCTCAATGTTTCTCCTCAATTTTTTGCAATTGCAACCATGTCAGGCCATGCTAAATGTGAAGGCTGGAGTGGAAAGAGCGGCGGAGAAAGCTTGAAGGCTGGAGTGGAGTCTGGAGAGGCGACGGGCGTTTTGGGCCTTTTGGCTTTTATTTTAGGGTTTTGTTTTTAACGTGGTTTTGCCTTTTTTTATGTAATTGGGTCGGGTTGGGTCGGTTTAGATTAGGTTTAGTTGTCAACCCGTAACCCGATCCAACCCGATCTGACTACCTCGCCCAAAACCTGAAACCCACCCAAAAAAGCAAAAAACGACCTAAATTGGTTGGTTTGGGTAGGGTCGGGCGGTTTACTTGGGTTGGTTGTTCCGTTCTCAGAAATCTCTTTGGGCTCAGTTCTTACGGGGCAAGTATTGTACGGGGATACACCCTTTATTTGTAGCAGTTCCTTACTCAACTTCTCCTATCTGGAAAAAGGCTGAAATTAGTTGGGCCCCAGACATAGCCATACATTGCATGGCACCTTGGTGTAGGTCAGATTTTCTTTTGGCATAATTGCTTAATGGGTGAGACCACATTGGCATCCCTATTCTCACACTGACATCACACATCTACGAGAGTGCAAGATTTCTTTGATGATACTGGGTGAAATATTGGACATTTATTACCGGTCCTCCCTTCTCTTATGGCGGAGCAGATATGGGCTATACTTTTATGTGCAGATATCCCAGATCGAATTGTTTGGAGAAATACATCGGATGGTAGCTTCGCTACCAAGTTCCCATGGCAGCCCGTACGTTCGGGATGTCAGTATCAGGATTCATACCGATTACTATGGAGCTCCATTTTGCCAATCAATGTCTCATTCTTCTGCTGGAGACTATGACGGGCCTCATTCTAGTAGATGTGGTTATTCAAGAGAGGATTGGATGTTAGTTGGCCTATAGCTGTCAGTGTTGTTCCGAGAAAGAGACTATCAATCATATTTTCACTGGTAGTAACATCTCCAATCAGGTATGACAGCATTTTGGGGATATTTTTCAGATACTTATGAGTTCAGGAGAGGGAGTCGGACAAATATTACAGATATGGAGGTATTCTAGACATTATGTTCGTTGTGGACACATTCGCATTATCGCTCCTTTACTGATATTATGGTACCTATGGACCGCAAGGAATGATGCGAAACATATGGGGATTCGCATAGTAGCCAAATGCATCATTTAGAGGGTTTATCGCATGATCTCTTTTTTCATATAGGAGGGCTATTTCGAGTGGTGCACTGGCAAGGGAATTTGACACTTGCACCCATTTTTGGTATTTTTATGGACCTCCATTCCCCATCTCCCCCTATTCTAGTTTGGTAGCGTATTCCATCAGTCGAATCTGTCAAGATCAATACTGATGGATGCGTCAAGGATGATTTTGCGAGTGGGAGAGGCATCATCAGAGACCACGCAGGATATTGTATTAGGGTTTTCTCAGCTTCGTATAAACCATGCTTGATATTAAAGGTAGAGCTCTGGGCTATTCTTGATGAGATTTTACTAGCTCATGAACTTGGTTTTTCAACAATTTGGATTGAGTTTGATTCTACAGTAACTATTCACTGCATCACTATAGGAGGAGGACCATGGGCTATTCAGGGCATACTCAGACGTATCGCAGATATCATGTCATTCAACAGAGATACAGTTTCTCACATTTACAGATAAGGAAATCGGTTGCAGATGCTCTTGCTGCGGAGGGCTGTGATCATCGACGATACCAGATATATGGACTACATGACCTACCACGACATATTAGAGCACTAGTACAAATTGAAGACATGGATTGCCCAGTGCCAAATTTTGATTTTTATTTCCAATTCTTATTTTTGCCTTAATTTGCATTAGTTCTTATTGTAAAAGAAGTAGTACTTTCTAATTTACTGTTTTAATTTTCGTCATTTGTTTTTCACTGTAAGGGAAGTAGTACTTCCTCATTTATTATTTATATTAGTTTTATTTAATCACGGTATTCCTTCACCACAAATGATGGCAAATTAATAAAATCTCGGAGGTATAACCCTCCTTTAATCAAAAAAAAAAACTTCGCGTTCATAACATCTACATTACTACTTTTAATTATATCCAAGACTTGCTGTTGAAGTATGCACGTCCAATGTGCTTCTTCCACAACGCACTTTAGTCTTGAGTGCAACGATCCAAATTCATCTTAGTCACGAGGATTTTAAGTGGTTTTCACAACTTTTAATTCCTTGGTAAAAAAGAGAAGTTTGAGATTTTCGTGTTAATATTTATTTATATAATTTTAGCCATATCGTTTATATACAGACTTGTAAAGAGAAATATGAAGTAAAATTTTGTAAGAGATATACAGACTATTGACCCTTGGTTCCTTTATATAACATTATTCTACATTCTTTCATCACAAATTGCGGGTGATTTCTCCTCCAATAACTTTCACCCAAT